AAATTATTTTGGTTTACATTTGCATTCTTTTCAGGAATATTATAGAGACGATTAGGACGTGATTCCACAGTTGCTGTCTTTACTTTTTGACTGAAACTTGGAACTGAAGGAAGGTTAAAAATAACAGGATGATTGACTATAAAGATAAGGGTTCTTTTTGTATAAATCGCTTTATATTGCAATATTCTTAGAGTATTATTTACCTCAAAGAAACAATCATCTCCTTTAATAGTTTAAGCAATTAGAAATGAATAGTGTGTAAATATATTTGTTCAACACATTTCCTCTCATGTAAAGTTTATTTTTCTTTAGCGAATATCACATCCTTAACTATTTTTCGTTGCATTCTTATTATTAACATTTTATTAATTTACACATCATGTCGTTAATGAAGGTTTTCATCTAAAAATTCTATTAATGTGCTTTAAGATGAAGTTGCAAATTTTTGTTTGTTGTCTTTTTGTGCTTATTTAAAAATACAAGTCTTTCGACTCGTTATTAAGAAATTTTTGGATGAAATCATCATTTGGGATAAGATGTATTAATTAATCGAATATTTAGAATAAGAATGCGACAAAGAAAAAAAATTAAACATAAATTCATTAATGCTGGTCGGCCAGGGTCGTGACCGACCAGAATCCAGGGGTCATCACCTCAGCCCCTAATTTGGCAAAAAAAGACCACACATGAATTCAAATCGAGGGTCGAGGTGGATGGATTTGGGCCTGAATTTGGCCCTGGATGAGCAGCATTGCTCACATAAATTTGATGGTGAATAAATGTTGTTGATTTTTCATATACCCCAAATGTGGTGTATTTATGAAAAATTTGGCATCAATTTAGCCTTTCTTTTTTATGCTTTTTGGTGATATGACTTGACTTGCGCTGCAAATAGATCGAATTTTTTCCTTTTCTTTATCCCCTTGAAGTATATAAAAACTGGAACTTTGGTATCCACATGCGGGCCATTGCCGTTCGAGTTTGATTAAAACTATTTACATTAACAATAATGGAATCACTTAGCCTTCTTCGATTTTGATACTTAAAAATTATTAAAATATGTTATTGAAAATGAGTTTAAGAAAAATGAAAACTTTAGAAAAGTACATTTACTTGACGGGTCAATTGATTTTTAAATGAATTAATTCCGAAATATCGTACGATTATTAAATTTAGAGAATTCTCACCTACATTTTTTCGAACAAAAATAAATGCTACTTTAATTCTAAATTCAACCCAACTGGTAAAATTTAAAAGCATGTAATAAATAAAAACCGACAAATATTTCATGTGCGAGATTAACCTCGTCGATTCTTAAAACTAACAATATCGGTAGGGGTCGAAGTCGTTTGCTTTCCATTAATTAGCAAATTAATCTGTTACTAATCTAAAAATATTACACCACTGGTCTGGATCAAGAAACAAGAAAATCCCATATCAAGAAAATTAAAATTATTTAAATGTATTTAGGTATTATTGTTCTCTGACGGTCAATTAAAATAGTGAACTTGTTAGGTACCTATCACATGATGCTGATGGCTGCTAGCTCATGACAAACAGACATAATGTATGATATTGAGAATCATTAATAATTAATTAGATATATGTCATTTATTTATTGCCTCTAATAATTTATTGTCTCTTTAAAAGAGTTGTTGAAGTTTTTAATAATGTTGCTATTGCATTTAATGTAAATAGTACTCCTCCGTCACATTTATATATATGTTAACTTTCTTTACATTCGTATAATAATTATGTAGACCCGTTTCTTTACTGACAATATTTTGTTTTGTTCGTTTATGAATATATTCTTATTTAATTTGTTTAGTTATAACTAATTCTATCTGCTTAATTTTGAAATTGTACAAATATAATGATACATACTTCTTGAAAATTAAATTATTCAATTTCTTTACGACTTCCAACAATAATTTATTACTCCCTCCGTCTCAATTATATAGGTTTGTTTTCGTTTTTCACACGGATTAAGAAAATTTCTTTAATGTCATTGAAAAATTAATTTTTGTTAAGATCTTTTCTAATTTACCTCTATTTAATAAGTTGTTCGTGTACAATTTTTAACCCCGCCTACTAGAAATTGAAGTAGTCGATCCCAAACTCGAATAAAGGAGAAGAGTTTGTTTATCTTTTTTTTTTATTATTTTAAAAAAGAAAGATGTTTTGAAAAATGTATATTTAAAAAATGTTTAGAAAAGTGTATATATATATATATATTTTTTTTTTTTTTTAGGTAGTAGAAATATGTTTCACGTTGATATATAAAGACATAGCCCCAATGCATGTTCCGATTCTTGATTTTTAGTTTTTTTACAATTGATTTTGCAGCTTCAATCCAATTTGAATTAAATTAGTTGCACATTTTTTTTTACAAGAAGTTTGACAATTCTTGATGTGTCAAAATCATGGACATTAATTTGAAAAAAGTATTATTTAAATCAATGATCGTGAGTTTGACGCATTATGAATGTCAAATTTATTGTATAAAATGAATATATATAGCAACTTTGATTCAATTTTATACATAAAAAGTAAGACTCGTTATGAGCTTTGATCGACTTAGTAACTTTAATTCGATAAAGTGTGACAAAAATTTATATATAGATTATTTCTTGAATTTATTGAAAATGGGGGTTTTTTATCCAAACATTACATGCAAATTTTGATCAAACCAAACTAATATAGTATTCGATAAAAGGTTGTAGCTCTGTTTTCTTGCAAGATATTAACGAGAAATAAGAAAATAAAATAACTCTTAACGGCTACTTTAATAAACGGCAAGCAGAAAAAGAAGAAGAAATAAATATATTGTAGGGTCCATTCTTCAACGGTGCCATTAAAGTTCCGGCGAAGTAAGCCAAAGCTCCCGTATAATTACGCTCCCCAATCATCGCCGTTAATCACACGTGTATTTCCCCGGTTAGTGTTACTTCTCGTCGGTCCCACACGCATTTCCAGCTGTAATAATTCCTCCCAGACGAAAAAGACACCGTAATCACAACATATAAGAAAAGTAAAATGCTCTTGTGATTCGCTTCATAATTTCAACTTTACTTAGCGTAGGTGTTACTACATATTATTGAGGTAAATAAATTCAAGCAAAAAAGTCTCCGTTTTGTTTAATTTATAATAATTTTGTTGGCGTCCGACCTCACGTGGGACCATAAACTTACCAACTAGGGATGAACAAAATGACCAAATCAAATTAGACCAAACCAGAACCAAAACAAATCAAACAGTTCGATTCTACCAAAAAAAAATAATAATAATAATGGTTTTGATTATTAGAACTGAGAACCATTTGATTACGAGTTTTGTTTGATTCTAATTCTAGAACTGAAAACCAAACTCAATTTTTATGTTAAGAATTAGAGTTCTATCTTAAAATGTCGACTTTATTAAGATGAGTAACTCAATCTTTTATAAGTTGGTTTATGTTTACATCTTTATTCGATATGAGATTCTATTCCTTAACATGCCCCGCAAGATGGTATCTCGTTTGGGAAAATCAATTAATCAGATCGAATTGCTCATTAGAGCTTAATGAACTCTGATTCCATATTAAAAATTGAGGTTCTATCTTAAAATTTTAAATTTTATTATTTTATATATATATATACAAATTAGTGAATCACAATTTATAAAAAAATATATTAAAATTCAATTGAAAATCAAGATAAAAATGTCATGTGCATGGATGATTTCTCATTTCTCAATACGAAGACTGAAAACCCTAACTTATTTTGGAGACCCAAACCCTAATTCGTATCTCATTTTCAATTTATAAACCGACTCTCAAATGGAGATCAACAATTACCACATGTCGTCTACCGTCGTGCTCAACTACCATAGCTGCATGTATTTCTGAAATTGAAGCCAGCCTCAACCTTCGATTCTTCTTCGTCGAATGTTATTTTTTTTTCTCAATCAATAATGAAATTAGAACCGAATCAAACCAAACCAGAATCGAATGGTTTGGTTCCTGTTTTGGGTCCATATCTTATAAAAAAAAAAAAAAATTGGTTCCTTATAAAAAAAAAAAATAGTTTATGGCTCAATTCAATTTTTTTGAAATCAGAACCAAATAGAATCATATCCACCCCTTATACCAACCTTTTTCAAAATCACTTAAGGCTACAAAAACTTCGATGAATATCGGCCTCTAAAAACGCATGTCAGGTCGGCCAATCGATCATCGTTTTCTAGGAACATAATCATTACCCAGTTGAAAAGGTTTTCCCTTGATGATATCATCACCTCCAAAACGACCACTTTTGAGAAGACAAGTGTCACTTAAGACGTCAACACTTTTTCACACACCAATCAAAAGATAGAAATGATCACCCAGACAACAAGTAATCATGATCTAGATAACATCTACGTTCTAGGTAAAATGATATCTCTGTCGAACTCAACCGCCAGTCGATGCAATGGCACACTATTGATATTGGCATTGTAGCTCGATATGACTAAGGACTACCAACTCTTAGTGGCAACAATCCCCTCCTAAAGGTCGAACAATGTCATTTTATGTAACACGCTTCAAAAAAGCATTTCAACAAGAATGTCCCCTTTTCTTTTACAATTTAAGTAATTATTATAATAAATTCATCTAAAATTGTCACATCAGACAATTTTAAGACATCAACAATTTTTTTCCCAAACGGAGGATAAATCAGTTGATAACATTCGAAACAAACAAGGATTCTTAAATCTTACAGCAGGGCGTAACGCCGTCGTCACTGTAATGTGGCCAGCTCAAACGACTCACATGCAAAATGGGCCCAATCCAGTCCACATTACACTGTCCTCTTTTGTTCATTTTATGCTTGGGCCCACTCAAATGTTTAACCTTCTTTACTCTTTCATATTATATTCCTAATACTAAAAACTAACTCTATTTATGCAGCTGCTCGTCATTTCACTTTCTCCAACAAAAATTGTCCTCTAATTTTCTGCAATTTCCTCTCTCCTGAGTAGCCATGGAGTTCAAGGTGGGATTTATATTTGCATTGATCTGCATTGTTGTGGCTGGTGTTGGAGGCCAGTCTCCGGCGGCTGCACCCGCTAAAGCTCCGGCAGCGGCTAAGGTTTCTACCCCGCCTGCTGCTGCGCCTACAAAGCATAAATCTTCAGCTCCAGTGGCGGCTCCTACTTCAACTCCTCCGGCTTCAGCTCCTGTAAGTTCTCCACCGACAGTTTCTACTCCGGCTCCTGTTAGTTCTCCACCGAAAGCTTCCACCCCGGCTCCTGTAAGTTCCCCACCGACTGTTTCCACACCGGCTCCAGTGAGCTCGCCTCCTGCTCCAGAGCCAGTCAGCTCACCACCAGCGGCTGCTCAGTCTCCACCATCTCCGGCTCCCGAGGGGGCAACACCTCCAGCTCCAGCTTCTGCGCCCCCGAGTGAGACCCCGGCTAAGGCTCCGGCTCACAGCAAGAAGAAGAGCAAGAAGCACACTTCACCTGCTCCGGCTCCAGGGCTGATGAGCCCACCTGCACCTCCAACCGAAGCCCCCGGACCTAGCGCCGATTCCATCTCCCCAAGTCCTACTTCAGTTGCCGATGCGGTACATATCTAAATTCTAATTTCTCCCCTAATTAAGTTTTGGCCGTCTTTACTGCTGAATCGGTAATGTGCATCCGGATCTGGTAATACGTTCCATTATTTTCTCATTTTCATTGGAGTATTGCCTTGATCCATTAAACTCTTTCTAAAAACAGATCGAAAATTCCGTAAGGATTTCCTAGATCTGTAAAATGAGCAGGATCATAGTGCTTCGTGCCACGCCATTGATGTTAATATATTAAGCTTGTAGTTACATAGCTAATCAAAGAATACCAGTGTTTTGTGGCGGTGCTCTCTGTTAATGTCCGCACTGGCGGTGCACCACAGCATTGTGGCGTGAACAAATGTGTGGCAAAAGAAGCGAACTTACAATGCCCACTTAACACTGTCTCCTGGCGCACGTTAGCATCTATTGATCTGAATTATTTCCTCCATTGGTAGAAAAAATTGAATCGTACTGTTTACAACAACAATCACGGCAGATCTGTGAATACATTAACAAATTGAGAACACCCTCTGCACGAAAGTACCTTTTTTTTTTCCTGGGTACCGTAATATTGAATTTATTAATTTCCCATTTTGGTGCAGAGTGGAGCAGAGAAATTGATGATGTTGCAGGGAAGTTTGGTGTTGGGAGGGGCCGTGTTTGGCTGGCTCCTCTTCTAGAAGGCACGATTATTTTGCAAATCTTTCATCCCCCAAACACGTCTTCATTTAATCGGATATTAAACATATTTATAGTTTGTCTATTTATATGTTTATGATTCGGATCCGAACGGGGGTTTTGCCGCATTGGCTCTCTCTTTGTATTGTATTCTTTGGTATACAGTTGCACTTTTTGTATCGACTCTTTTCGACAATTATTGTACCTCTTCTATTATTGTATTATTATTTGATTATTCTTACTTATTGTCTTGCTGCTACTTCAATGCACTTTATAGAGATTAAAAAAGTGAAAAAAATGTTGACGGTATGTGCAAAATTATTTTATTGAAACAATGTTTGATAAAAAATGAGAAACCAAATAAAGAATATAATAATCGAAGCAAATAATTAATTAAGATGTAGAAAGAATGATGGAAATGGAGACTCGCTAAGTTTTTATCCATCTTTTTCCCTTGAAACCAAAGAAAAGACAAGCTGTTCTGGGTTTATGAAATGAAAAAATTGGTATATACCCAGTGTGGTTACAAATTTATAAAGTCAATTGTGGGGAGGGAAAGGGATTGGTATATGACAGGATAAGTTATTTCCACCGACATTCCGTTGGGTATTTTTGTCACATTATCTCATCCTTCTATCCGGTTAAAGAGGGAGGGGGCGGGTTCGGATTGGGGTTGGGTTCGGCAGGACGTGGTGGATTTCTAGTTCCATTTATTGTCTCATTTATTTATTACTTTTGTTTTTTATATCTTTAATTAATAAATATTTTTTTTCAATTTGTTAATAATTACCTATATTCTATTTAAAAATGATAATAAATATTTTGTTTTTATTTGATAAAAAACTTAAATTTATAATTAACTTAAATGGGGCAGGAACTATGTTTCCCTTACCCCGTTTACTCGATTAGGTGGATAATTCTCATCTTTCGGGATGGAGCCCCACGGATATCGAGTTGAATTGATTTTTTGGTCATCCATAATTAATTGGTTTCTTGGTCCAACAAATTTTCAATATGTTTAGTACAATATTACAAATCAAAATTCTTCATAGGAGGATCTTCACTGAAAATCTTTAATGTTGGGGAAAAGTTGGATTTTCCATTGCAATACAAACTGTGGCCTGTATTCTCCACTACAAATCTGTAAAAGGGAAGAACAATTGCAAAAAGCATTTGAGGCACACTCATATACCTATGACAAAGCGGCCTTTTGTGGTTTCTCACTTCAATGAACAAGGTTCATAGTACCATGATGAAGAGGAGTTTTGGTTGCTAGTGTGGGCGAGTGACAGAATCGAGGGTAATATTGGAGAAGAAGACGAATGTGGTGTACATATATTTTCTTTTGTTTCTTTCTTTTTAATTAGACTGGGGTTATATTTGTAAAATAAATGTCGTGTTCTTAGCAAAAAAAAATTTTAATTGGTGTGAATGTGGTGAACAAAACAAAAACAGTAGTGGTAATATAATTACCTTATATTTAAATTTAGAGAGTAATTTTTTTAATACAATCCATCACTGCTCTCTATCTTGGCTCACTATTTTCTTTTTTCAATGAATATTTATTGTTTTCTCATCAGATTTTATTAATATATTTTTCAAAAAAATGTTAACGACCAATCAATTTAAGTATGATTTGATAATTTGGAAAGTAAAGTATTCAAATATGTTTCGTTATAAAATAAAAATAAAGAGCATATTTGACTCTCTATTTTACGAAAGTTAAAATAACTCTAAAAGTTCTAATCCTCAAATGCCAGCAATTAATGATATTAGTAGGCACCGTATCTATTAAATTGCGAGTAATAACCAAGGAACACCTCTGAATGTCAATGTGTAGCACTTGTTCTTGAAACCAATTGATCATTAATTAATGAGTAATGCTATTTATAATCATGATGATGGAATATCGATGATACGACACCCATTATGACATTATCTCTCACATTTCTCTCTCTATATTCCCTCATTTCTCTCATAAAAATTGAACATTTCAATCCCATTATTTCACGTAAGCTGTTACATCATCGATATTCTATCATCATAATGATAAATAACATTATTCTTAATTATAAGATGTGAGGTTCACTATCACCTAAATTGGAGCTAAGCACGAGTCATACTACGTAGAATTACTCTTTTGAGGAACCTTCTAGTTAGCTTACTACCTAATATGCATCTCTACCCATGCCCACTTGCCTCAACTGCCAGCACGATTTCCCTTCTAAAACAACCTTACACAGGCTGTAAACAACATTAATAACAACATGTTGAGTCAAAAGTAATAATAGAATTAGGGTTTGTTCAAAGGAGGTGATTATAAAATACACGCGTGTCTTGGAGCAAGACATGACAAACAACTTGTAGGGTTATTAAAATTCAAAAGCTTGGATATAGAAACTTCATGTAACCTTCTTTACAACTAAGACCTCAATAGATTGTGTCCTGAGGAGTCAACAAGAGCAAGAGGGTCTCCATTTCTCACACTTACAGACTATGGGCTGTACACATTTTATAATTCTAATGGATTCCCTCCCCCCCATACACCTGCCCCATACAGTTTTTAGGGTCATTAAGGGGTGAAATTACCTGGTTAATAAGTATATTTTGAATCCCAGATTGCAACTATAAATACTGCAATGCAGTCTCATTAGGCCATCACTTTCAGCTCACAAGTCAAAAATCATACACTCTTATTGTTGTTAGCTTGTTGAAAATGAAGCTTTTTTTCTTCACTTTGTTTCTTCTTTCCTTGATTCTCAGCTCTTCTTTTACTACACTGACTGCAGCTACACCACCTCCAACCGAACCTGCCCCGACACCAACCCCAGGTAAACCACTTTGAATCTTTTTTTTTCCCGATTCGTGGGTATTATTGCACTTATAAGAAGGGATAAAGAGTTAATTTCATCATACTGCATATGATAGAATTTTATGGTTGATTAATAATGATGCCTTTATGATGGAAATGACAGGTTCTTGTGATGCACTGTGCAAGGCAAGGTGTGCAAAAGCAGGCATACAGAAGCGTTGCTTGAACTTCTGCGGCATATGCTGCAGCAAGTGCAACTGTGTTCCTTCAGGAACATATGGTAACAAGTCAGAGTGCCCCTGTTACAGAGACATGCTCAACTCCAAGGGCAAACCCAAGTGCCCTTAATACCTCAATTGTTGTTTCCATTAGAAAACATTCTATTATATGCACTTTGAATGATGTTTAAATATTCGTTTTGAGCACACATTGTACTGAAATAATTTGATTAGTTTTCAACTATTGCTCATGGAGTAATGGCTTCGTATTTTTGAGCTCTTCTGTGAAATTTCTCGGCCCACCAATTTATCAAATGTCTGTCTCTCACATAGGCTTATAAGTGGAACAAGAATAGAGTGATGCTAGGTGTACAAAAAATGGTTCACAGAATTTTTACACTTCCACTTGGCAATTTTTCATCCGTCCTTAGCTAAAAGCACCAAAAAAAAAAAGGCGTCATACAGGTGCTGCCAACACAACACATGTAAGTTGCTTGTGAACCAATTCACCTGCACAAGGGGAACTGTGCGTGCATTTAACATATAATGAGGGACAAAATAAGCCAAAAGCATTTTGATTAACTTCGGGTTTTTACCATTACATTTCTGGCCAAGGGTCACTACTGTTGGCTAATAGTATTGGCTCCTTGAACATGAAGAAGTTTAATGATACACACATGACTTTAATGCTTCTACAGGAAGAATAAATACCATTATCAGGAATAATGCTTACCATTATCAGGAATAAAGCTTGACCCTCCTCCTCCTGTCCTCTGCGTGAGGACTTGAATATGTGGTACAGAAATGACTAGCCATATCAAACACCCAAAGGAATGCTCAAAAGGCTTATATTTATGCATTGTGAAGCAATCATTTGAAGCGGAACACAAAGATTAGTGGACTATTGGACTATTGCACATTTGAGAGGAGTGTTAGAAGTGTGATCGGTCAGTTTCCTGTAGTTGTCAACCTATTGGTTTTTCGCCACTTGGAAAAGGTAATGCCCCGTGCTACGAGGTACAGAATGAAACAGACGTATGCAACCGTGAAGATGAATACCACAGATATAAAAATAACCCCACTCCCTTCAGAAGAGAAAAAATCCACCAAAAGGTACCCGTTGATCAATATCACCAAAGCAGCCACAAGCCATGATATTATCTACACAGAAATGTGTTAAAAATCATATGGTGCTTGTCCCAGTAAGAGTTTGGAATAAACAAGACGAGGCAATAAAACAAGCACACTTGAAACATGATAAACCAATTTCCTTCACTCTTAAGATCATGTAAATTGCAGAATTGATACGAAAGTAGCATTCAGTTATGTCTTGCAAGGGAAGTGAATCATGATCTTCCACATTTACATAAATAACCACTGACTAAAAATGAAAGTAAAATCAAATGCCAATTTAAATGCAGGATATAATTTTCTTCATCGATTTCATACACTTCAAATGAAACATGATAAGAACATCATGAAATTTGCATGGATATGCCCCACCTACAATGTAAAAGTTAAAATAGTAAAATTATCTAATTGTCATCGAACTAGAAAACATAATAAACCAAGCGAATGCTCTTTCTCATGCATAAAAACGTATCAACCAAAATATTGGTCGGTTAAGGGCCAAAATCATTTATCTTGTTCTCGAGAAGTGCTAAATTTATCGAGATTTTCTCCTACGTCCGCGTGTAGACACATATACCCCTCTAAGTTTAAGCAGAAAAGTGCACAAGGTTTAAATTTATCTCAACTTTCTTTCCCTCTTGAAAAAATAAATCTTCTACAACTATCATTTTCCATTCTTTCCATTGTGCAAAGAGTTATGCTTTATCCTCCAAGGAAACAAACTCTTCAATGGATGCATGAATTCATATTAATTAAATGAAAATCTCAAATAGCTTGAAACACCATCAATTTTTTAACTTGGACATTCATCCATGGAAGACGCCATGCAATCCACCCTCAGTCAAACCCTAAGAATGCAATCAAAGTTAATAGAGTGATGGATGCTAGCATGATATAATAAGTTTGGTAATGTAAAATAATACAAAAATGCAAAAATGAATGCACAGATATAATAATGCTATCAAATTTTATGAAGAAGAAAAAACCTTGAGAGTGATGCCGATTTTGAAAATGCCCATGACTTCCTCCTTGGCCACCAAGCAAAGGAGCGGAATAAGAGCAAATGGGATCTGAATTGACTGAAGTATATTAAGCCATTCATTTAGAACATCTAACGAGTCCTCAGATGTATCAAAAACAAGGGCAACTATTAGAGTTGGGATGATAGCACAGCTTCTAGTTATCAGTGCTCTCATCCACTTTTTCAAACGCAGGTTTAGAAACCCCCCCATTATAAATTGCCCAGCATAGGTGCCAGTTATAGTGCTACTCTGTCCGGCAGCTAGTAATCCGATAGCCCAGATGTATAAGATTGGGAACAATCCTCCACCATACTTTTCTTGAAGATACTGCCCTGCATTTCCAAGGCCAATGTTATTGGCTTGTTCTGAACCATAAAATGCCTTCGCAAACACTGTTGTCACAAACAGATTTATAATGAAAGAGATTGTGAGAGCAGCGCCAGACTCTATCGAGTAATATCTGAGAGCTTCTCGAACTCTGCCTATCTTGCGGTTGTCAACTTCTCGAGATTGTACGAGAGCAGAGTGCAGAAATACGTTGTGAGGCATTATAATGCATCCCACAACTCCTACTGCTTGCTTTATTGTCTTCGAGCTGAGTTTTGGGACCATAACACCTACAATATCAGTTAACATACGTTGTATTTGAGAGCTTATGGCTTAGTATCAAGTACATTGAATTTTGTATCAAAATTATCATTCTCTAACCAATTAAAAGTTTGGCCCCATTGGGTTTCGTTTCACCAAACAACCACGCAAATGAGAGTGCCATAATTGCTATAAGGACAGCAAAAAGGGCTTCTAATTTCCGCACACCATAGCTCTCCAGAAACAGAAAGATGAAGCTGCACAAGACGAAAATGGGAACTCACAATTTAGAAATCTGGATTAGCCTTCATAAGATTCCTGAATATAATTGGAATGGGTATAAAAAATTCGTACTCTATAAGGATATGTTTGATTGGAAAATGGCCTTTTTCCACCCAAATTCCAACTTTTGATTGCCATTTTTTTCCATGGAAAATATTTCCAATCTTTGAAAATATGCCTAGTTTTCCTTGTTTTTGAGGAAAACATTTTCTTTGGGGGAGGTAGGTTTTGTTCCTCAAAACAAGGAAAACATTTTCTTCTCACATTTTCCACGTCAATTAAACACACCTAAGTTCAATCCTATTAACTTCAACATTCCAAGCATTAGGTAAATAAGCTAGTAAAATGAGCAAGTCTAAACTCAAACATAATTCTAGCAAAACTGAAACTTGGTTTACTCCAATTCCGACACAATCCATGCACTTAACACTCCAAGATTTATTTTTTATATTGCACAAAAAAAAATTAAAAAATAAATCTAAGTTAAATAAAACAAGAATAAGTAAAGACAAAACGTTGTTCAAGATTTTAATTTTACCAGTCAAGAGCAGTGATGATGACACCAGCCCACAGAGGCAATAACCCATGGCTCAAAATCTTGATAGCTATTGCACTACCAATCACCTCCTGAATATCAGCCCCAATCAGGGCCAGCTCCGCCATGACCCAAAGTAGTAGCCTGGCCCAATTAGGATACTCCTCTCTGCACAACTCGGCAAGGTGCCGTCCAGTAGCCACGCCAAGCCGGGCAGACAGCAGCTGGACCAAGAGGCCAATGACTGTGGCCCACAGTAGCAGCCAAAGCAAAGAGTAGCCTGCAATTGCACCCGACTGGAGATCACCCTCCAGGTTGCCCGGATCCAGGAAAGCTATACTCATCAAGAACCCGGGCCCTGTGAACAGCCAAAGCTTCCGCCACGAAAACGGCGGCGCTTTGGTGGAATACTCGTCTGCTCCATTTCCTTCGTCGACTCCAATTATGTGGACTTTCTCGGTGTAATCATATGCCCTCTCTCCTTCATCTTCCTCGTACAAATCAACCGATCGTTCATCGAGTAACCGCTGGTGCTGTTCTTCCTCTTGTAGAGCCATTTTCCTCTTTCTTTTTCCCTTAATGGAGAAGGAAAAATCAAGAACTGAAGAAGGAAAATAGTGGATATCCCACTGCACCCTTTCTTTTATCGGTAGTTGCCGTATGGGGCGTTATCGTTAAAGACCACGAACAGAGCAAACTGCCTTACCCCACTTCTTTGTTATTATTTATTATGTGATTTGTTCTCTATTTTTTTACAATTTAAATGACACCTCACCAAAAAAAAATTAGAATAATACTGTTAACCCCACTTGGGTTATAATCCCATCTACGTGGTCTTGATGTTAAGCTAAATGAAATATAGAATTAAATCATTCATTTAATTATACTTATCACTTAATGTCACATTAATGTCATGTATACTAACCTTAGTAAGACTAAATAGTATTACTCCAAAAAAATAAGTCGTTCGTTTTCCTTTAAAATAAAACTCTTTGATTCACATATTAATTTTAAACAACTCATTTACAAAATAAGATATTTTGTATATAAACTCAAATTTTTTCCTACTTTTTAATCACACATTTTTTAAAAAATCACAATTCAGAACTCCTCTTTTTTTATCAAATTAATAGCTATCAAACAGGGGCTAAGTGGGGATTCCGGGAAAAAGAAGGTTAATATTAAAATTAATTTTTCTTTCAAGAGAATTCCATGTTTGAAATTGCCGTGTTTTCTTGATTTTCGTCCTTTTTTCTTTCCATGGTATTACTGTCCAAACCCGGGAAGTAACTTGTGATTTGGTAAGAACGTATTGTTACTAGGAAGATGCTACATGTACTTCCTACCTTACTACATGGGTTACTACATGGCCACATGTCGGCACCCTATAGGAAGTAAACATAGATTAATCATTGTTACTATATATAAAATATTTTTTTGGAGCAAAACAAAAATAAAATAAAATTCTGGTAAGTTGTGGAGTCTCATTATTATTAATGTTACGTGAATCGATCTTCACAATAAGATCGTAGTGGAGGTTGGGGGTGCAAGAAGTCCCCTCTCGGGGGTGTT